CAAAATTTATTTAAGATAAAAAAAGAAAACATAGTTTTGAATCCCTGAACTTTGCTCTTATTTTATTATAGATCCTTGCACTTTTTTTAATATTTTAAGTCATTACACTTTTATTTTTTGATATTCTAAATTCTTTCATGAACAAAATGTAGAGACTTATAATACTAAAAAATAAAAATGCAGAAACCTATAATAAAATATAAGCAAAATATAAAAACCCAAAGTTATATTAAAAAAAACAACTGACAAAACAGTGAGAAAATAAAATATATTCTTATATAACAAATTTCAAATTTGCACTCAGAAGTAGAGTTATAAAGATTGTATGGCTTGACATATATTTTACAAGGGCCATCGTCAATGTATCCAAATATTGAAGGCGATCGCCCAGGATTGAGCGGGAACAGATACATTGGATAAACATGGGACGTTACCCTTGTTCTAGTTCTAGAACCTACTTTGATGAACTGCCCATTGAAATTGAAAAAGGAGCCTTCCAGACAATATTCCCATATTCACATTATGGTCCATACATAACTTATATATGCCCATATATCTAAAAGTAAACCTTACCATTAAGCCATGGTATGCCGGCCGGTTCCTTGCTCCTCTCTATCTCTCAGAGTCTGATTGAAGACTTCTCAGCATTTATGCTGTGATAAATAAGCTTCAAGGCAATTTGAGGTGGGGAAAGGAATTAAAAGTTAAAAAAATTGCAGTTCGGTCTCAAATGCAATAAGAAGCCGCCCTTCTTGCAATGGTTTTGTTTAATTTCTGGTATGGAGCCATGCTGGTCATGCATTATTATTTGTAGAGTTGAAAAATAAGGGAGCTCGACCTTTATGAGCTCAGTCTTTAAAGACTTGAGCCTTTAAACCTAATTTTTTTAAAATATTTCATTTTTTAAAACTTAACTTTTATATAAAGGATTCGGGATCAGGTTCGTAAGCCCTTATTATTATTTTTTAAAATTTTAAAAATTAAAAATTTTAATTATATTATTTTATATATTTTTTAAAATACAAATTATAATGTTTAAAAATTAAAAATAAACAATAAAAAATTCTAATTTTAAAGTATAAATATATATATTAAAGTTTAAATTTAATTTAAAAATTAAAAATATTTAATTTTTTATGAACAAATAAAAAATGGGCTTAAAATGACCACTCGGGCCTGAGCTCCTTTTTTTAAGGTCTATTAAAGTCAGGTTTGAAAACTCAATTTTTTTAAAAAATGTTATTTTTTAAGCTGAACTTTTATAAAAATAGGCTTAAACTAATGGCCTTCCAAACCCGATCTTTATTTCTGACTTTAATTATTTTCGTGTTTAATTAATGGTTGTATTCAAAACCAGCATGGCCTCACACGCCGCTCTCATGCATATATTGATGAGGTATCCAGAACTTGGATACGCCGCTTGGTCGCTTTTCTTAGCCATCCCGCGCTTCCATTACAGACTATAGCCAGACAACACAACACGTGCATGATCATTCTCGGACGCTGCGTGGTCGGTTCATGTATAGCTCAAACCCTTCATTTCATTTTCTACGCGTGCGTTGACATCTTCACCCATCCAACCATCTGATCTGTGCCCCCAGATTTGGTTCAACCATGCGTAGGAGACTTTTTTTAATCCTTTCCTCATCCAACTGAGCTTTACAATTCAATCTAGAGCCCACAACAGCATTCCAGTTGCACCCAAATATACGTGGTACATAAATGTGGTCAAAAATGATCATACATTTGAGAATGTACTATTTTCACGCCACTATTCTAGCTCTACCAGTTGGATGGTGAATCAAACTTGAATAGTACTGTGGTACGGCAGAAGTTAATGCGCATAAAGCTGAGGTGCAGGGTCCAATTAAATATTTTGAAACGTCCACGTCCCCTTTGGAGGGTTGGATACTAGAGATGACAAATTAGCGTCGTTTGTGATGCGATCGGAGAATTAGCCAATCAAGCAGGAGCTTCCTGTGTGCCTAGCTACTGAAAAGACGCTTTTCTTCTCCATTAAATTCGAAAGAGGGATTATCCATGTAGCAGCGTTGGCTAGCTCCCAGCTCTTGGTAAAATTATTGACGCGCTGACAGCCTAGGTATCGAGTTTTCAAGCACAGTGGCAGGTGACTGCTGAGACTAGAAGCGTGAAAAAGAAGGCGTAAATAGTAGGGGGCGAGTCCGTGGGAATGATAGGGTGACAGCTATGAAGACTCTCTCCCAAAACATGCGAGGCCCAAGACCCCATCGAGGTATCTTGTGTATATCTGGGGGTTATCTTTTTTTGTCACTCCCTGCGTCTCCGTCGCATTTACACTCCTTATCCACTCCTCGCCTTCAGTAATACTACTCTTCCTTTCAAAGCCAATCCAGTGCATCATATTGTTGGTAATGCCTAATTCTTCTAATGTTCTGATCGACTGCTATGTGATGAACGATCTGTGGCTCAAAATGCCTTACTTTGAACGATAAAATTTGATTCACATGTACTCAAATATTGGTTGCTAGCTAAAAAAGCCTGGTTGTACCGCTCAACCATGTGACTCTTAATGTGCTCAACATGTTTCCTAAATACATGAATAATCAAATAAACGGAGAGCTCACGAAGCATCTCTTAATTCGTTAATGTCTAGATAATGATATTGTATACAAACCATCGAAAGCATATATTAAAACTTTCTATATACAATTTTTGCTTAACCAAAAATCATGTTATCAATATATGCATGCTTTCGATCATAAACAAGTATCTTTAGTCTATTTTTAATTTTACCCTTTTATTTTAAAAAATCTCAATATAACGCGTAAAAACATAATCCTTTGAAGCTGCTTTACAGTTCTACTATTACATTTTTTTTTTTGGCCGATACTATTACATGGTTGAGCCATTTTTCCGATATGCATTTAATCACTTTTTTTTTAAAAAAATTATAATGATGCGCGTTTCTTAAAAAAAAAAAATGAACTCCCATCTTGTCTTGTTTATCATATTTCGTGGCTTATATACATATAAACAGATGTCTGTTTGTAAATTTCTTATAGAAAACGAAACGCCAATATGATAGGGAAATCTTACAGTACATTGTTCACACTTCAACTCATTTTATCAAAATACCTAATTTTTAAAATTATGGGTTGTGAATAAATTACTTGTTGATGTTTAAAGTTACGCAAAAAACTTTCCGAAATATTTCATAGGTTCGGTTTCAATGCTAAGCATTGAGATGAGCAGGAGGAGCTCATCTCCAAAACGCATCGCTTCAATTAAAAACTTGATGGAGATTCAGCCATGAATCACTCCAAAACACATCGTCTGTAGGCTCCTTTCAAAAATAAATAATTTATAAACGAGAAATTGGCGCGAAAGCTTTGAGCGATGTGTTTTGGAAGGGTGAAAGGTACTGACTTTCTGTGTCACAAAGGAGTTTGAAATCTGATATTCGGCATTAACTTTCAATGCAAATGAAGGAGGAAGCCAATTGAAAAAGTCTGATACACCTCCTCTCTTTTGTGCACAACGGCCGTCAATGGAGATTGAAAAGTGTAAGCTTTTTGGTCCTATATTTTATTCAATTATATATCTATATACATGAACTAAAAATTATATATGTTAATGGTGAAGTGATGGATTCCAGTTTTTATTGGTATGCTTAAAAAATTATATTCAAATTTCCAGCACTACAACTTTAATGTTTGGACTTTCTGTCAAGATGTTTTGTCTCACTTCTCTCTCGCCTTCTTCAACTCCCTTGCACCAATCATTGCTCTCACTCTCTGCCAATAATGGAGAAAGAGAGATGAGCCAAAGAAATCACCGAGATGAGTCAAATATTAGGAAACTCACGAACATCGACCGAACAAGTTTTAGGAGAGGTGGGGAAGGGAACGCTAAGACCACCAGGGATTAGGAGCCATCAACTAATAGGTGAAAAAATAATGAATGAACAAACGATTAAGATTAAAAGTTAATGGATGGCTAAGATTATTGTTTTTCATTTAAGCGTTAGAGAGGAGCTCCATACACTCATCCCATAGTTTAGCACCGAAACTGATTCCGTTAGTCATGGGTGAGGCATTAACGATTAAAGTCAACATGAGTTGCCATAATTTTCTCTCTCCAAAATTAACTTCAGAACATCTACACCCTTTGGATAAAGCTGAAAATATAGACTGACCGACTTTTAAAGGCCTGAACTTAAAATCTCATTTTTCATTTTGAATTTCATTTCTTAAACTCAACCTTTATGTGAAGAACTTAGGGTTGAGCTCACAAGTTCTTTTTTAAAAAATAAAAAAGTTAAAATAAAATTAAACATTATAAATTAATTAAAATATTTTAAAATTAAAAAAATTAAAATTCTCATAATTTTTTAGAAATTAAACAACACACATTTAAAAGTATAGTAATAAAATTTAAATCTTGGTTAAAAAATAATTTATTTTTTATAAATACACAAACATAATAATTATAAAAAAATAAAAAATATCAAGAATTTTATATTATACACTTATATTTATTAAATTATATTAAATTAATTTTACAATAAATTAAAATTAATAATAATATAATGTGTATAGTATTAGGTGAGTAGGTCAATGGCTTCAAACACATATTTCACCAAAAAAATAATAATAACAATAATATAATAGGGCTTGAAGGGCTACCTGAGTCCGAACTCTTTTTTACATAGTTTATCAGGGCCGAGCCCTCAAACTTGATTACTTTTAAAAAAAATTATTTTTACAACTTAAATTTTTATTTAAATAGGGCTTTTAAACTTGACTCTTCAAGTGCAGCCTTTATTTCCGACTCTGTTGTGGTCAACTCATTAAAAAGAAGAAAAACAGATAATTGACGGCGTCAAGCCAACCTTTACCCCGTAAGGTATCCTATATGCCATTGTCATAATAAAACTCAAGAGTGAGGGCAATGATGTGTGAGTTGTTCTATAAATACGTACGTACGTACGCGAAGAAAAAGCAAGGAGTGCCCGGCTAGCGCGTTTCGATGGCTAAGGTGTTCAGAGCGTTTTTCTTCAAATCTCTTCTCTTCTTTTGGTACCGTTTCCTTCTCAGGCAACTTAATAACCTCCTAGGCTTTCATAGATCCATTGGCACCAATGCCTTTCCATCCCAATTTAAATACCAAAAGTACCACTCCCTGGCTCACAGATCAGACCTCACCGATCATACCTTAATCTTTGATGTGGAAGGAACTTTGTTAAAATCTTCTTCTTTGTTCCCCTACTTCATGCTCGTAGCCTTCGAGGCAGGAGGGCTCATAAGATCCTTTGTCTTGATTCTGCTGTACCCTTTCGTCTGCTTAGCTGGACCCGAGATGGGGTTGAATATAATGGTGATAATATGCTTCTTCGGGATCAAGGCAAAGAGCTTCAGAGCGGGAAGGGCTGTTCTGCCAAAGTTCTTGTTGGAGAACGTTGGTTCAGAAATGTTCGAAATACTGAACCGAGGCGGGAAGAAGGTGGCGGTCAGTAATTTACCTCAAGTAATGGTGGAGAGTTTCTTGAAAGAGTATCTGGAGATTGATCTTGTGGTGGGCAGACAGCTGAAAGTGTTCTGTGGATACTACGTGGGGTTGATGGAAGGCAGAAAAATTGTAGCGCCGCACGCTTTGAACCAAGTTCGGGAAGGTCAAGGACGTGCCGACGCCATCGGCATTTGGGGCTTCAACAAGTCTCTTGATTCCGAACTGTTATCTCATTGCAAGGTCTGTCGTTTAGTCTTATTTTTCCGGACCGTAATATTAATTATTTTCATCATGACCGTCGTTTGCAGTGTGTGGAGCAGTTTTATTAATTATTACTTTGTAATTTAAGAAACTCACAGTTGGCTTTGCCTTGTTTCAATAAAAATGAACAGGAAGTTTATTTGGTGATGGAAGCTGACAAGAGAGGCTGGAAAACACTGCCAAGAGAGAAGTATCCGAAAGCACTGATATTCCATGACGGTAGACTGGCCATGAGACCTACCCCAATGAATGCGGTAGCGACGTTGATCTGGTTCCCATACGGGCTAGTCCTCGCCATTATTAGGATCTGCATCGCGTTATCGCTCCCGTATCACATATCAACTCCTCTCCTGGCAATCACTGGCCTGCGGCTGACGACTTCAAAGCCCAAAACGTGCAACAAAGAAGATGATGGTGAATGCAGTGATGGGAATCATCGCCAGCTTTATGTTTGCAACCACAGAACATTGCTGGATCCTCTCTACCTGTCGTTTGCGCTGAGAAGAGACTTGATCGCCGTGACATACAGCCTGAGTAGAATGTCGGAGATACTGGCGCCCATCAAGACCGTCCGATTATCGAGGGATCGCAATGAAGACGCGAAGATGATGAGGACGTTGCTGAGACAAGGGGACCTGGTGGTGTGCCCAGAAGGGACCACTTGCAGAGAGCCATATTTGTTGCGGTTCAGCCCTCTGTTTTCAGAAATGAGCGATGAAATAACTCCCGTCGCTGTTGATTGCCACGTCAGCATGTTCCACGGTACGACTGCCGGAGGACTTAAGTGCTTGGACCCACTTCTGTTCCTCATGAATCCTTCCCCCATCTACACCGTCCAATTGCTGGACAAGTTGTCCCGCTCCTCCACCGCCCTCGATAGATTTAAAGTGGCTAATCAAGTGCAGTCTCATATCGGGATGGCCCTCGGATTCGAGTGCACCATGCTCACCAGAAAAGATAAATACTTGATTTTGGCCGGAAATGACGGCCTTGTTTCTTCCGCCAGTGCTACATCTAAATCGTAATCCTGCATGCCCTGTAACATTATTAATTTACCTGTACCATGGATACTTGCCATGACAAGGCATATATATATATATATATAGCTTAGTTTGGGACGGAGGGAGAGAGATAGAACGCCTTTCTTTCTTCTTTTCCTTGTGTTGATATTTTTTGTACCCTTTTATATATCTTCCTGTCTTGTAATATATATCACGCGAATGCTGATGATTCTATTCACTTATAATTTCTCCAGCTGGATTTATACATGCATCTCTAGAGATTAACGAAGCAACGACATTCGAAATGTCCTGCATGCCAAGGCGAGTAAGATATATATATATATATATATATATCATTTGTCTGTGTTTCGCATCTTTTCAACAAGATCAGTGGTTGTAAAGTTACTTAGAAAGACTGCATATTTGCTATTCCGACGTTACCAACGCCATCTGAGGAGAAAACACTGACACAATATATTGAATTAAAAGTTTGCGAAGCGCGCCTGAATTTGTGCTAGGATTCTACTGGCACCTTTAATTTAACCGTCACAGAGACTTTGAGCGACACTTCTTCTGTTCTTCGTTTGATTATCAATATAAAATACAAACTATGCGCCCGTTTAGATCACATTTAAAATGTGCTGTTGTCAAATTCAATAAATAGTTAAATTCTCCAAATATACTTTTGTCAATTATAAATTAAAAATCAAACACACACTATATGAATTAAATAGTTACGTCTGGTTACTTTAAAGCAGAGACTCTATTCTTTTTAATTAAGTTTGTTTAAATATTATAGAGATTAAAAATAGTCACGTAAAAGCTACTTCTAATTGAGTGCTAGATTGGAAGCTTTGTCAACAGCGGTGCCAAAAATATTATGCATGTAAACAAATATTATTATCGGTCCACAGATATCGCAGTGGATCCCATCGATGTCGTGGTCTCGCCACCCTGCCAGACTTGCATCATAATTGTCGTACAATTTGGGGGTAGGCGAGCAAATAATTTATCTGTCCAGGAACATTAAATCCACAAGTCAATTCTATGCATACGTTTTTTTCCTAATTGGTTGATGTAGTGAGTTTAACGTAAACTGGTACCTATCCTCCTGCAAGTTCAAGTTTCAAACAGATTGGAAAATGGCCATTCAACTAGAATATGTGCTTAATAGACAGCCATGACGTGTATAATTATATTGGTACTAAATATTAATTGCGAGATACTGTGGAAGGGAAAAATAAAATTAGAAGAAGAATGGCGTAAACGTTGCGCAGCAGTGGATGTTAAGGAAGATGATGCAGTTAATGGTTAGGAGGTGGGACTGGGGATGATAGGGGAGGAAGCAGGAAAAGAGAAATGGGGAATTGGAGGAGCCCCAAACAAAGGGAAGAGAGATGGAGGATTTAAACCAGCCAACCACTACTTGCAGTCGCCCATAAAGGGGTCTGGTTCTGGATGAAAGGAAACTAGTTACAACTAATATCTCCTCAAACTCCCATTCTCTCTCGCATTCTGTCACATCCTCTTTAACTTCAATTTGTTCTCGCTCTGTACTTTCCCACCACAACTATCATCTCCTTAACCGGCGCCGTCTTCGCCTCCCTCTTTATATTCCAATTTCACGTACCTTTTCTTAACCTCTTTCTCCTCTTATACGACCATACAATTCATCAACTATCCAATGAAAATTGCCAATGAGACTACTATTTAGTGTGAATAACAAAATTTATAAAAAGTCATATTATTTCATTAATTTATGAGTTCATATTGATGCGGCTTCTTTTGTTTATTTTCAATTTCCCCGTGAACGTTTCATTGGACGCCGCTACGCATTTTAGCAAAATTTAGAAAATACAATTATTTGTAATTTTTCAATTTATTATTTATCTTCTACAAGGCAAAAAAAAAACCCTTTAATTGAGACATTGAACTTGGTTCTCTGACTGAAATTTAATCTGGGTTAAAAACTTATATTTTAGATCCGCTTCATTAGTTCTGCTGGCAAAAAAAAAAAAAATCATTTCATTTAATCAGCCAATACACTCAGAGTCAAAAGGTTAGTAACCAAGAATAAGGAACGCGTGCGCGGTCGAAGCTTGTGAAATTTTTTCTTTATCAAATTTGGTTGGCTAGTTTTATTTTAAAATATAAAAACTAAATAGGTATAGAAGCTCAAGATTCCAAATACGCCCTGAATATAGACAACAACACGTGCTTGGGAGTGTTTCTTGTTGAAAACACCCGGCGATAATTCGAAAGTTTAATTTTATTGAAGTTCGATAGAGTCCATCCAGCAATCTATCGGGATCAAACGTAGAGAATGTTATTTTTCTTTTTACACTAGAGCCAATTTTCATCATTTCCATTTCCAAAGGCGAGAAGGTTAATATGTATGGGTGTGACTGTGGTCTATTCAAAAATCTAGTTACGTTTCGGCGTAACGGAACACATCTGACCTCGTGGCATCTTATATTCAAGACAAACATGATTTTTCCTGTTTTGGGCAAAAGACAAACGTGATTTGGAACCTAGCTAATAGTTTGCTCTTGTGTTAGTGTTTTGTTCTAGTTTATTTTTACTTTCACGGTATGTACTTGCCACTGACAAGACCCATTTAGGCCGGATAGTGATTTTTTTTTGGCCCAATTTATTTAGACCCAATAACCATAGGCTCCGTCACAGACCGAAGAAAGTTTCTACTTGCTCCAGGTCACGGCCTCACCACTTCGCAATAATAAACATAATAATGTGCTTGTTATGTAAATTGAGTCCTGCATATTAAGAATAATTTAATCATTTATATTAATTATTTAATAATAAAAAAGTTTTTAAGGATTTTAGAAAATTTTTGGATTCAAAGGATCAAAATGTTATTTACACATTTCAAAAGAATTTTTTTCTCATTTTTCCCCAACCTCTCTGCCTCGCAGGTTTGCCAGTTCTAGGGATTTGGGTTTTGTTCTCAACGAGTTATTTAGCTTGATCCCCTTTGACTTATGGTATCAACTGCTTTCCTAGTTTCGACTCTCGATTGCTACTTTGCAAGATTAAGGTTTTCATGGGTACGGGGAGAAAGGTTAGCTCGTTCGATGTGATAGACGATGCTGCTGTAAAATGGCCAAAGAAAATGGTGTGGCAGTCAATGCAGCAACACCATTAGTAACAATCTAATCAATGGGTGGACTGGAGATCGTACTCGCATAGGCACCATGATTGTTTTTTTTATTTTTTATGAAGAGTTTCCATGGAATTTTGGCGATCGATAGAGGGAGTCTTTATTCGCTTTGAAGTTTAAATTTCGCGGGTTAGTTTGTTGATTCATACAATATTTATGGCAGTCTATGTCTATGTGTTTGGCAATTAGTTTAGGTCAACTGTGGGAATAATGATTTATGGGGATTGATTTGATTACCCTTGTGCTGAAATCAATATTGCGTGGATCAGTTGCAATATCAAATTTTTATTTTTAAATTTTTTATTCATATATTTGTTAACGGAGAACATTTGTTAACAATATTTCTAACAATTTGATTAATGATAGAGTATAATAAGATCATTGAATCCATAGATCATTGAATCCATGTAGCTGCTCACATTTAATAGGACAAGGTTTGATGTTGTTGTTGTATTGTTTTTGAGTTGCAAGTGCCGGTTTGCTTAACCGTGTCACATGAAAGAGGCGTAGGGATTGTAAAAGATTTGGCTAAAACGTTTATAGTTTATACCATGGTAATTTCTTAATTCACTCCGTGGGTTAGATTAGGGTTTTCACTTAATTCAGCTCTACCTCTCACTTACAAAGGATGGGCCTACTTGACAGAAGATTGTGTTATTAACAAATATAATAGAAACTTCATTTATAATTGATGGTATGTGATTTCAACCCTAGGTTTTCTAAGCAAAAGGTTCATAGCCTAAGAGTTAGAGGTGAGTCTTTGTTAGTATCTCTCCAATATTAAAGGCAAGTGTACATTAGATGTAACATCTTGGAGAATTTAATCTCTAATTAACTGAGTGAATGAAGTTAAATAAATAAATCAATGAGTGTTATGAGTTTGTGGTTATAGTTTCAAGATTGATTTCAGAGTGAAGTCAAGCCACCCGAATGTCAAAAGGTGAGAAAACTAAAAGGGAATGGCTCTATACCTCATGTCGTAGCATGTTGCAGAGCACGAGCCATCAGAATGCAAGAGTTTGCTTTTTATACTACATGCCACGGCACGTGAAACAAGTACTGTGGGTCAATAAAAACTATAAAAATAAGAGCGTATAAGATGCAAAAAACATAGAGAAAATAAAAGAGAAATGAAGCAAAAATGAAAGAGCTTAGCTTGGGCTTGCAAAACTAAAGGCTTATAATTAATTCTAGCTACCAAAATTTAAGCTGAGGTTCCTAAGCTCTTTCCCTCTCTTCCTCTTGCATTTTATTGAATTTAAAAGTTAGGGTTTAGTTAAAAAAATAAATTTCAGTCCATAAAGACTATGTATCCATATCCATTGACTTAAATAAAGTTAATGGGAGTTGTTTAAGTTATTTAAACCTACCATGTATGACTCTATACATTTTTAGTAGTTGGGAGTCATAAATACATAAAATCCTTCATAAATGAAGTAGATGGCGTAATGTGGCTCTATTAATGATTGTTTATGAGTTCAATGAAGTTAATGAGTGTTAGAAGAAGCTGGTAAACTCAATGGGTACTTTATATATGAGGAAATTGAATTTTAAGAGAGTGTTGAAGTATGAATTAAGTATTAGAAATTGTCCTAAGAAGGTTATTGATAATTGTTGTGTGAACAAATGTAGAGTAATCACAATTTATCACCATTCAAGCTTCTTGAAAGCTTTAGAAGTGATAAATTAAAGGATAAATATTTAATCTCTCAAAGGTTTGAGGTAACCAAAGGAAATCTTTCTTCTACTTTGTGTATTAATCAATTTCTTTAATTGTGTATTATAGTTTAATCATGTGAAATTATTTGAATGCAATTGTAACATAAAATGTTGGAAATCAACGATTACAAATCGTGAGATGATAAGAAATGATTGTGATAATTTTATAAAGTTTAATGATTATGAAAAATATAGAGTTTAATGATTGTGAAAACGTGGAATTCAATAAATGGTTATTTTGTATTTGTGTAATAACTACATGTGGCATGAGTTCAATGATAACATTAAGCATGCTGGTAATTGAGTATTTTGCATGCTAAAGAA